CCTCCGCTCAGCACCTACGTTATGCCTCAGCAGTAGACAGCAACATGGTATGGATTACAGCAACGTGCCAGGCTTCAAAAGCTGTGGTTTCTATCACGTGCGTCCACCGTGATCTAGTTACACTAATGCAACTGCACTTATATAGGATGGGATTTCTTGAAACAAAAAGAACAACCACCTCTCAGCAGAGACAGCAGCATTCCAAAATATTGGCAAAATATTGCAGTTGGCGAGTAACATTTGCTGAATTCATTTGACATCTGCCTGAAAATTGCCCATGAACAGTTATCAAGATTCTCAAATGTGCTCATTATCTGGAGGATTATTCTTGATGCGCAGTCAGCTCGTAAAAGGTTTGCTCTGAATACTCAAAGTCTCCATCAGGCCAATTACTTACAGAAGTTACACAGTACCGCTTCTGTGCTCTGGCTGGGTGGCTTCTCTGGCTTGCACAGCATGAGCTGCAAATAGCACAATTAAGTGCACAACTTCGAGTCACAATATGGAAACAACGCTAAACATTTGCTTTTTACAATTATCTACCCTAGCAAAGCCTGAGCCTTTGATTACTAATACTATGACAGCCAGGTTAAGAAAAGGGACAAACTAAATTAAAACATTTTTAAAAACAAGGATCCAAGACCTTAACATTGCTCCTGCTCTGCTAAAAAGCTTTGTTTCACCCCACATGACAGAGAAAAGGAGATAACGCTTCCCTTTGTCCATGCCAATGTCCCCAAACATGACACACCCTATCCCAACAGACAAAACCAGAAGCTGATAAAAGCTTTCTACTCCCCCTGTGACAACCCATATCCTGCTGTTAGGTCTTCAAATTTCAACACTTCTTTATAGTGACAACATACTGAATCCACTATCAGGACTAGAAACACAATATAATGAATTTGCTACATGTGTTAATATTTAAGGCAGCTTTTGATGTACGTACCATTGACTAGGTTAAAAACGTTCTGAAGAACATCTTGGGAAACTGCTAAAGATACCACAATAACATGTGGCCACTGAAGTGCTTTCAGTTGTTATTTAGATGAAAGTAATGACCTTAGTTCACATAATTTATTCCTCTTCTTTTCCAAATGAGTAATTAACACCAAATTTTTAATGCATTATCATTTGAGCACATTAATTTTACACTCTGATTTCGTTCCTTGTAATTCACATCCTTGATACACAAGTGCTGCATACTGTGTGGCTGCAGAGTTCAGTTTCGGGTCACAACACAGGACAAGGAAAAGGTTTCCTGTCACAGATTTTGATATTGTGAATAATTTTGCAAGATACCTTCAACATGCAGTAATTCTAGGAATGTCTGCATTAAGCAGACATTAAGTTTTGGTCCTTGATGAATTAGCATCATCCTTAATAACAGAATTTGGCAACCTCTGAAATTCTTGACTGCTAAATCATCACAAAATATGTATTTCACTGACTAGTCCATGTTTCCCTGCCTAATCAAGCTATGTATTTTCTTGCTTGTGCAAGCTAAACATTATTGGAATTACTGTGCAGGAACAACGTTACCAGAAATAATTTGTGGGGGCATTTACCCTATGGCCAAAAAAAATACACATCATCACTATTTATCTAACCCCCTCCTCTGTGATCCTACAAAGAATGAGAAAGATCAATCCTGAAGACGACAATAATCTCAGCTAAAATAGCAGACCAAGACTCCTCAGCAAGTTTTGATTTGTATTTGCACTGTTTGCCAATTCTTTTTGTGCTATTTTCTTCCAGATCTGTTCCCCATATATATATCAAAAAGCTTAGGTAAAGCAGGAACATGAACTTTCATCTTCACCTCACAGCAGAGAAGGAATAGAAGACACACCCCTCACAGGAAAGCAGAGCGCTCTCTTTTTGGTTTTCCCTTCAATCTTCTTAAAAAATAATTAAATCTAAAATTTCACTTGTCAGGAAAACGACAGCCAGTTCACTCTTAATGACTTCACCTGCACTTCCCTCAAAAATTACTGCAGGGATAGTGGAAAACCATCTACTCTTAATTTTCTTTAAAAAATGGCAAAACAAACAAACCTCGAAACAAACACACAACAGAAAAAGATAAACTTAAAGAGACAGCAATCCAAGGACCAATATAAGAAATATTCATCCTGGACAAAGAGCTATCTGTAGATTTCATAACCAAGCAAAAAAAAAAAAATCCCTAAAATAGGTTGGAATCTTTCTTAAAAATGGTGTAAGGCTTTTGTTGCTTCTAATCCTTTCAGAGCACACAAGATTGGACATCACAGCCATAACATTGCTGGACTGAAAAGCTATTTTATGTAATTTTGCAGTTTACAAGAAGCACTGTTTACAATTTTCCTTTCCCTCAGATATCTGCACAGTATTCACGGTAACTAATGCATCTGCCTTTATTAGAAAAGATATAGAAGAACAGATACATTTAGAGAACGCAATATATAGTTTCCTAAAATAGTTCACCATATGCAGAACATTAAAAGTATTTGTGAGACCTTAAAGCTGGAGTCCATTAAATACACTGACCTACATAGCTCTCACTCTACATCTCCAATCCATGACTGCTGTATTTCTTTATTAATGCAGTCTTCTAGACCTTACACTCTTATGTTTTCATTATCTTATCGCATTTCACACTTGGTGTTTTTTCCCCACTGGGCTTTCCAGTGGAGGTGGTTATCGGAGATTCACAAATGAAGACAGAAAAAAAAAAAAAAAAAAAAAAAAAACAACAAACCACCACCCCACAACCGACAACCTAAAAGATCAGGGATGTGTTTTGCCTTTGTCAGAACTGCGTCCCAGTGGGCTGTTACAGCAGGACAGATCCCCTCTCCACACATTACAGTAGCATTTGCGTATATATTTATCACAACTTTATTTATTTACAAGGATGTACATGTGTGCACCAAGACCATTGTGTTCTGCAGCTCTATGGGGCAAGTAAAGGCCTCACTTAAATACACTGCTGCCAAATGTTTACTGCTGATGCTTGGTGGGAAAAGATCACAACCCCCAAGTCCTGTGACAAGTAGCAAAGGAGATCACAGTCACGCTCTACCTCATTAAATTGCCCCAGTTAAAGGGCAAAACCAATTGAAAGGGATAAAGCTCTGAAAGAGATTTCATGTTATCCCATTTCATGGAAGGGGACAGGGGTATGTGGGTTCTGGTCATTAAATAGCTAAAAGTGCACATAATGAAGACTAGCAGGACAGCGCTAGCTATATGCATCTGTAAGGAGACTATAGTCTGTATATGTTTAGCAAATGTTAAGATTGTTTCTCTGCTGTTTATACACCTCAGTGTGATATCGTAACGCAGGATAACAGTCCTCTAACCCTGATAGCCTGCCTGGGGGGCCCTGTCTGCACAAAACCCAAGCATCAGATCACCTGGCAGGGGACCCTGCCTCAGGGTCACATCCAGGGCCACACTCTCATCTGCTTTTGGAGAAAGGAAAAAAGAGACCGTACATATCCAATGCAGGGGAGGAACGGGCTCCTTAAAAATCATTTTGATGCAATACAAGCAATGAGTAAAAGCAGTGTGGAAACAGAAAACACATTTCCAAGACAGGGCTTCTATCTTTTTATCTGAATCCATGTATATTTTGTTCTACCCAAAGTAAATATTAAATATTTCAAAGACTCTTGTGCAAAGCTCACTTGTTGCATGCTTCTACTATCCTTTAGCTCTGAAGCAATAGCAAAACCTAGGAATGTGGTGCTTCACAGGCACTCTCCAGCTACTGGTGGACCTTGGAGGAGTCAGCACTGATCCAGCAAGCTTGATACAGCTTGCCTCATTTCCATGAAATGATGATAGACAGAACTGGTTCCCAGCAAACATGCTAAGAGCAAAGAAAGCTTCAGGGCTGGCACTTTCTCTGGATCCAGGGAAGCCTCAAAGCTCCCTGGTGCCGGAGGGAGGACTGGCACAGTGACGGGGAAGGGCTGCCAGTGCAAGAATCCTGGCCAGGTAGGCAAGTGCCCTGCATGCCAGCCAGCCAAGTGACACCGTTAATAGGCTGCCATCATGGTTTATCTTACATGGTATAGAAATGATGTTTTGCTCATGAAAAGTAAAAGACTGCTTTGTGGGGAGAGGAAAAGAAAGCCAACAAGAATAACTGAACTGTGTTAATTCATTTCTAGACTTTTACGGAGTCTACTTGGGCGCTGATCTTTACATGGGTAAGACGGCACGTGTATCTCTTTCTCTCCTGTACCTTTACCAATCCGATTTTCTGATTTCCACCAAAGCATGCTCTTGTTAGCTGGGCAGACATTAAAAACATTTAGACCAAATGAGATCTGTTAGGTATTCATGTGTATGGTTGCCACCGATGCTATTAATCCTAAAATAAAATAAGTTTTCATTCTTTAAATAATTTTAAAATGTTCCATGGCATATTTTGAAAGATTGTCCAGAAAAAAATGCTAGGAAGCAAGAAAATGCTAGAAACCAGAAAATTATTTTCATATACCTTTAAAATTACCTAAATAGCCAACAAGATATGCATGCTTAACATTTTTTATATATTATCACCTATGAGAATTTGTCAATTATAAAGGCATTACTTCAGTTATACTGCCATATTCTAGTATACCATCTTGCATTGTGGTACTTCATGAGGAAAAAAAAAAAAGGATATCCAAGAAATGCATTAAGACACTTAGCTTACTAATGGCCAGTCATATTTAAGCTCATTTTTCTTGCTTTTATGATCTAGCAATGGAAAAATTTTCTTCATATTTTTCAGAAATAACAGAAAATTCCAAGAAATGGAAGCCGCTGCTAATAAAAGAAGAAAAGCTGAGTATCATCAGGGTTAATAGCTCCTATTTGAGATCCATGAATGATTACAGAGTTACTTTTCTGTATCGAACTTTCAAGTTTCATTATTAATATGCTGCCTCTCTGGGACATAGGTGCACTCATGTTACGAAGGCTACTTATTCATCATATGGAATAGAAGAGCTAGAGGAAAAATGGCTTCAAAGGTCTCATGCTTATATGTTTTGACAGTAGTTTGTTGGGCAAGCGCTCTTTGGTACTTAAGTATAACTCGCCCTACTTCTTCCTACACTGGCCACAGACAGCTCAGTAGCGTATCCATAGCCAGAAAAAATGTTTCCTTTGGCAACATAAGAACTCGACCTATAAATCCACATTCCTTTGACTTTCTTATCAACGAACCCAACAAATGTGAGAAGAGTGTCCCTTTCTTGGTCATTCTTATCAGCACAACTCACAAAGAGTTTGATGCAAGGCAAGCCATTCGAGAAACATGGGGAGATGAAAACAACTTTAAAGGAATTAAAATTGCCACGCTATTTCTTCTTGGAAAAAATGCAGATCCTGTGTTAAATCAAATGGTAGAGCAAGAAAGCCAAATTTTTCATGACATTATTGTGGAAGATTTTATCGACTCTTATCATAACCTCACTCTGAAAACACTGATGGGAATGAGGTGGGTAGCAACGTTCTGTTCAAAAGCTAAGTATGTTATGAAGACAGACAGTGATATTTTTGTAAATATGGATAATCTTATTTATAAGCTGCTCAAACCTAACACTAAGCCAAGGAGAAGGTACTTCACAGGTTACGTTATAAATGGAGGACCAATAAGAGATGTTCGCAGTAAGTGGTACATGCCAAGAGATTTGTATCCCGACAGCAATTATCCACCTTTCTGTTCAGGCACCGGCTACATATTTTCAGCTGACGTAGCGGAACTGATTTACAAAACTTCCCTTCATACCAGACTTCTTCATCTTGAAGATGTGTACGTTGGACTCTGTCTTCGGAAACTGGGCATTCACCCCTTTCAAAACAGTGGCTTCAATCACTGGAAAATGGCTTACAGCTTGTGCAGGTACCGCAGGGTGATCACAGTCCACCAGATAACACCAGAAGAAATGCACAGAATTTGGAATGACATGTCCAGCAAGAAACATCTTAGATGTTAAGATTTTTACCGATGTAAATACCTTTTTTAAAAAATTTTGGTTTAATGTGGTTATTTTTTGACAAAGTGATCTACTGATTTACAGTTTAAACTGTGGGATATTAACTGTGAGAGGATTTTTAATGACTGATTTTTCATTCTCATTTTGACTACTGGTTTACAGACTTCGGGCTGTTTTCATAAGGACATTATACCACCCGAAAGGATCTAGAGTCAAGTCTCAGATTTTGTATTATCTTCTATCACACATATCGGCTCCTATATCTGTATATAAAAGGACAGTAATAAACTATCATGAGCTGCTTAACAGTTCATGCCCCAGCCTCTGAGATAAGACTCAGGCCCTAAGAAACAAAGAATTACAAATATACTTTTATTCTTTTTTTTTTTTCTGACACCCTAGCACCATCTCTATTTAGAGCTTTGTTAATAAATTGACTGGTATACATTTGCACTGACCTTATAGACCTATCTTGACATGTATATTTTGTAGTACAATGCGTGCAATTCCCAAGCAGCTTACTGATAGTATAATAGCAGAATTTAGACAGGTAAGAACAGCAAAGTCTCATAGGCCTTAGAAACAAACCCACACACTAAAGTATATTTTTATCCACCAAATAGTACTCCTTTCAATTAATTCAGAAGATACCCCACCTCTTTCCACTGCCTAAAGTAGCCCCTAAAAGATCTAATACAATTTTAAAAAGAAGTAGAAACCGTAGGTGAAATAAGACAGGAGAGATGTATGAAAAACTATCTTAAAATTACATGCTAAAAGTATGACTAACTTTTAATTTCAAAGCAAGTGCAATGTTTCCCATTAGTATGACTGGATCTCTCTATTAAGTGTCTTGCATAGCAATATATAATTATATTGAATGATAAAAGTGTCAATAAGCAGCATATTTCTTCAACATCAGTCAGTACACTATTTACCTAAAAAAAGTAACACAAAAGCAGCTTTTTAAGGGTAAGCTCTACTTTTTGCTACAGTACTTATATGAATGAGATTCTACCAGATTTTTAATGGTGTTTTGTCAAGTAAAAGAATACTATCAACTTTCTGTTGATTGAGCAACAGAATACATAACAGTTAGGTACAACTTTCACAGCAAAATTGAGGGCTGTTCAGAATGCCCTATTAGAGAAAAACAGATTCTAGTCTTTGTTACAAATCTGCAGCTCCCAGGTTACTCATCACAGAGCCAATACTCACTGAGCTCCCACTCAAGGGAACCCCAGAGCATGCAACAGAAATCCAATATACCAGATCTTATTCAAGTTTCATAATGTGCTTATGTGTTTTGAATATGAATGTTAATGAAATGTCGTGGAAGTTATTTCCTGGAAAATTCTTTGATAAATTCAAGCCATCTCTACTCAGCACCACCTTCTAACAAAGAGCTAAAATATGACATTGCTCAGCTAATAACTTGGAATGAAGAATTCACAGACAAGTTACAAAAATACAAAACTCGCCAAATATATTATTAGCTGTAGATTACTCACACCATCCACAGCACATACAAAAGTCTCATTCACTTTAGCTGCCGTTATGTGTAACATATGAAAAACTGTTAAGTCTGTACATTATTTGGGATGTCTATAAAGTTATCAGAAATTAGCTGAATAAGAATTTGAAGGAAAACTCTGACTTTATTTTGCCATAGGTGTACATAGCACTTTAAAATAGTAACAGAGGAATGAAGATGCGACCCCAAAAGGTTTGCAGGTTCATGACAAATTGTTAGTCTTATTCACAGATGCAGCACCATCATTTTGAAAGGAACTACTTGTAAATAACATAAAGCGTACCTGGTCTTCAAGCCACAAGCAGTAGTAGGCGTCTCTAACAAATCTACTTCAGATTTACTTCAAGGGTAAAGCTACACAACAGATAGCCCAGGAGTTACTGCTAATCAACAGGAGCTTATGCACCTTTCATAAATGAAAATCAGTAATTTTACATAAAAATACTGAATCTCTTACAGCATAATTAACATTTATCCTTCCCCAGTTGACCTAGTCCTTGTTAAAGTTGCTCTTGCTTCCCGTCAAACTCCGAACTCTAGCTAAACAAGGTCCAACTAATTGCATAGATGAATATATAACACACACACTGATTGGGGGAAGTTCAGCTTTCCTTATCCAAGCCTCAGAATATGCAGTTTAGGAAGGGAAACAGCCAAGGGTAAATCAGACAGTATGGATGCCTTCCTACCAAGGACATGCTTTGTAAAAATTTCAACCCACAGGTTGCAATCACTTCTGCTATCCCTCTGCACTGTGCAGTAATTTGGGGGTTCTGAATCCACAGCTGAATGAATTTGGTGGCCTTACTTCTCCTGCAGATGCTTCTGTGGCCTTTGGTTAGTAACCAAGCAGAGAGGAGGGCTCCCAATCCAGATCCCTTCAGGGCTCGAGTAGCATCGTAGACTTGAATTTCTCCTATTACAAGTAGATTGCGTTAATGATTGGAAGGTACACCTTGAAAATAGTATCTGAAAAAATGTATTTCCTGCCATTTATAAATAGATAGATCTTCAACACAAATGTAAATGTTCATCTTGGAACTGATGTACATATTTCTAAGGCATTTTCTTCTGTATTCAGCTGTATATACGCATAGAGTCTGCTTGCTACATAGTATTCTGTTATGCATGGAGCTAAGTTAGGCATTATATTGTCCAGTGTTTCAAGAGCCTTAAGCATGTGTGCCCTAACTTTTGAATGTACAAGGTTTTTTTCTTTTATTGTCAAGTGAATTGAAAAGAACACAACAAAAGCCTAATTTTCTACTTCTATTAATTTTCTGATACTAGAATTCACTAGCTTATTACACTTACCTAACAGATGTATTATTTTCTCTTGTCTCAGAAATTGCAATATTGCAACCTGGAGATAGAAAGGGAGCAATACATCTACTCATAGGGACAGCTTACTGTCCCTTCCACCTGATAGTATTTGTGCCACATGGGGTACTGTTAACAAACAAGTGTTTGCTTTGGGCTTCCTTTAATCAAAAGAAATATTTATGTTACTTAAAGGTTTGTTTTTTTCTTTTTTCCACTAGGCATGGAACAAATAACAACTTGGGTAAGACGTGCTGGCTTCTAGTCACTTTAAAAGCGTGACTATAATCACATTTTGATTCCAAAACATATATGAACAAAGCACATTGAGCAACAAAGCTAGGGGGGAAATGCCTCTCTTGAGGAGGAGTTTTTCACAAAAGCATTTTTTTGCTAAAATCGTGAGAGTATTTAAAAAGAAGTCTCAAGGTTCATTTTCCATCTTTCCTAATAATAATGTTAAGTATCAATTTTGATGCTTTATTGGGATTTTTTTGTTTGCTTTTATAACGTAGTTGGCAATGGCAATTTGTAAATGAAGAGTGTAATTAACTAGAAAAGCTCGTCAACAGTAACCAAACTTTAGGTGTATCATTATATATGACTGGCTGTACTTATGTATTTATTTGTCTAAATTGTATATATTGTTTTATCTATAGTGTCTGTAGGAGTGCATTCTTTTAAAGTATTATTTACAGTTTTGTGGGATTTCCAGCAAAGCTGCTAATCAAGATACTATTTTTTTGTATCAATGTCAAATAATAAAAAAATTAAGAACAAAGTCAAATGAAAAAATCGAAGGTGTCCTGTACAGTTTTCTTCTTCACTTCTTTCTAGAAATGTAAACGGTATTATCTGAAAACACAATACCAGTGAATAGGCTCATTTGTCATAAGGAAGAATGTTGTCATGTAAAAGCAGATTTTTAAAAATAAACACAACTGAAATATTACTTTTTTTTCATTATTTGCACAACAACTTCATCAAGCTGATGCCCACACTGATCAGGTGCTCTATTTCATTTGACTTCAAAGACTTAATCTTAAAACAGCCACAGCAATATCTGGCAAACTAGCAGATGGGTTCATCACCTGCTTTTGCCTTATTCAGGTACTTTGGCATCCCCAGCTAACGAGGTCAAAGTTGGGCAGTTCTAAGGTTGTGAAGCTGTTTGACTCCCTTGGCCCTGCAACATGATTCTTCCACTACCTCAATGGTACCCTAATGCATATGCTTGCAGCCATCAAATGCTACACACAGGAGAAAATGAGAAAGCACAAATGTCCCAAAACCACTTTGAAGTTGCTGTGTGACCTCTGGGAGGGTATCCATACAGAGGGAAAGGGTCCTCCCCTGGCCTCTTAGAGCCACACGCTGACCCTGACAGAGCCTTTTGCTTCCCCAAGTCCCCCAAAAGCACCAGGAAATAAAGAAGCACAATCTGAGTACACCCAGATAATCCAGTTAGTCACATGTAGTGTTCATCTCCCAGTACAAATATATTAAGATCCTGTTTTGTCCAGTAGAATGGCCACATCAAAATAAAAACACAAACCAAAATAATATAAAAGCAGGACAGAATCCCTTTTATTGTAAGAACTAGTCAGAATAATTCCTCTCTCTTCATTCTCCCCTTTGAAGTTTCATATGTAGAACAAAATATCTAACCTCTTTGAGTACTGGTTGCAGAGCTCAGTAACCCAAACTCATTTATGAAATTGGTGGGGAAAATAACACACATCCCTGAGAAGAAGCCTAGCTTTTGCAAACCAAGGTGTATTTTCTTTGGGGCACCTGTTTCAGAAGCAGCTGAAGCCTGCTATAGAGTCCTCAGGCATCCCGGGAGGTCTGCAGCAATGCAGCAGCCTTACAGATCATAACAAGATGCTTTAAAACAACTAAGAGTTTCATGCACGGTAAAAACCCCTCCAATCATTTTCATTTTTCTCTCATGTTCACCATAGCAGCCTGAGTCTAATTGCAACACTTACATGGTGTTTAATTAATATACAGCTTAGAGATATATAGATACTAGCACTAGTAGGATGGATTTCATGTAACTTGATTATCTTAATTACAAGCATTCTATTTTCTCATTTACTTAATTGATTGTCATAGATTTCCAGAGAAATTTGCACTGCCCTAA